GAGGCTCCTTTAACAGACGCTGTTGAGGAGCAAGCTGAAGTAGAGGAAGAGACACCAGAGGAAGAAATAACTGAGGAGGAAACAGAACCAGGTAAGACTGAAGCTCCTGAGAAAAGGAGACGGTACACACTGACACGTATCAGTTAAAGTTTCCAACACAGGAAAGCATATTTGTTTTTGTGCGTTGAAGGACATATCCTGGTCAAACATGACTCCAAGGTTCCTCACAGTGTTACTGGAGGCCAAGGTAATGCCGCATCAGCAGCATGGCTCATGTGTGGGTGCTGACACTGTCTGTGGGGTGTAGTTTAACCTCAGTGGACCTGTTGAGTGGTCATGGAGGTCACTGTAACAAATCCATTTCCACTCATGAGCCTGTCTCATGTCTCCATCAGCACTGATAGCTGATCAGGACAGATCAAAGTCCAGGAAGCTCATGAGAGCCACGTGTGCTAGCTGACCAACAGCACTGATCAGCTTATCATCCTCTCACTCCTGTGATCTATACAAGTTACTGCCAGCACCAACACCGTGCTGAGGCAGACTGACTTTCAGGAGAATAATGTTGTTTAAATGTTTTTACAGCGGCAGAAGAAGAAGCAGCACATGGTGGTGGTGAGTGACACGTTTTATTCCTGAAAGCTGAACTTCGCTGTGCCTTCAGAGGGCTGTGACTGTTGTTCTCGCTCTACTTCAGCATGTGTTTCTGTTTTTGCAGCAGCGAGCGCTCCTGAGATGGAGGAACTGTGGAAAGACGAGCCTACAGGTAACCAGTTTCATGGCTTCACGTCCCATTAGAAGATTTGAAGAATCAGACTCCCTAAATTTAACGTATAAAATGCATCTCTGCCCGACTCCCTGCAGTCGTAGTTTGAACAGGGAAATCAGTCTTAGCACAGCTAGGTGAAAGGTCACACAGCTGCTGTGTGCTCTTTTAATCAGACGACCGGCAGCTGCTGACTTTATCTTCGTGCAGCAGTGCAGTGATGAGTCAGGAGGTAGTCCTAGTCAGCTGTTTAAACAGCTCCACGTGCTGTAGCTGTTGAAGGATGTTAATCTGCAGCTGTGGAGCATCAGACTGCACCACAGAGCAGAGCAAGAGGCTGGTCCAGTCTGTTTCTTTGACATCACCTACCTGAGGAGCTAAATGCAAATGTGGGGGCTTCATGGTCACCTGATTCAGCCCCTCTGTCACCCACAGGGTTGCAATAAAGATCATTAGCAGGAATGAAACATGATTTATTGATGTGCATAGGTCAGTTTGAGGTGAGGCGGTCAGACTTAGCGAACCATCACAGCAGAACGTGATGAGGATTAGGGTGGGACCCCGAGTCCAGGCGCTGGGTGGAGATGAAGATGCAGCGATGGGAAGGAGGGGGGGGTGCACAAAGATGTCTGCAAGGAACAACGACAGATGCACAGTGAGATGTAAAGTACGTGAAGAAGGCCAGTCAGGCTGATTGTGACGTCACTGGTCTAGTCTGACCGGTGACGTCACAATCAGCCTGACGGCGTGGGAAAGTGGAAGTAAAGCTTAGATTAGCCGCCAACAGCTGGGAGCAGACAGATGTGTGACTGCAGATGTTCCTTATCAGAACGTACGTTTCATAAGAGATGAAGGGGGGGTGGTTCACGGCGTACTTTGATGGAGGACAGGTCACCTGTGAACACTGACCAATCGTCTCTCTGCTCTTGCGTCCACAGAAACGTAGGCCACGGCAGTCGCCGCTGTGATGGAGCAGGGACCACTGACACTGCATCAGCACCATCTCAGCTCAGATGATGATGCCCCTCTCCAGAGAAATGATTGAGTTGTCACGGCAACAATCGCCCCTCTCCCCCCCTTTCATCCCACCCTTTAAATTTCCCTTTTAGTGTCAGTGTGTGATGATGTTCACTAATATGCTTCCTTTACCTTTGTTGTTTCTTTCAGGTTTTGGCTCATTCTTTGTTTTCCTGTTTCCTTCAGGGTGTTTTAGTTGAGTGTGTTTGGGCAGATGTCCACTCCCTGTGACGTACGAGTGTGTGCTGCACTCGCAGTCTTGTACCTCTCAGCAAACAGAGCTGGAGCTGCACGTTAAGAAGCTTCACACTTTAAAGTGTTGGAGCAACCAAATCAAATCCCCACTGAGAGCTGCTGCTCGGTGTAGAGAGGACTCTATGCAAAGGTGTGACGCGCGTCACCCACCTCCTTCCTCCCCCTCCTCCTCCTTAGCATCAGGTGAATTTACCACTCAGTGTCGACTCCAGGATGAGCCATATGCTAACACATGAACTGTGTTTGTGAGTAATGTTATGTGCTGACAGATCTTTGCTTCTCCTTCTTGTTGTGTGAGCTGCAGTTTAGTTTTGCAGACTGTGTTTGACTCTTTTTGTTATCTCACTACATCAAACTGTATTCTGTCGACTCCCAGCCGGATCTTCTGTTCGCACAGCTGAACTGTGAGGGCAGCACGGACGCTGCGCCCCTCCACGTTTATAACAGTGGCTCATTCCTGTGGAAATCCAGCCTCTCCGTAGAGGCTCAACGCCACCCTGTCACACACAATAATGTCAAATCTTATTTTGAAGGCCAGATGTAGACTCAAACATCGTTTCTGTTTGTTCTGTAAACATAAGTCACCTTGCTTCACTCGAGGATGATGATGTGAAAACGCTGTAGGAATCAGTAAACACTACGTGTGGTCCTCACTTACTGTAACTGTTTGTTAGGGGTGCGACAGCTCTTTCTCCTGTAACACTAGCTGGTGTTTCCGTTTGCTGAAACTCAATGTGAACTGAACCTTTGTAACATTGAAAAGTAGAATCTTTACTGAGAGACAACTTTTAGATTTTTTAATAGATTTTTTAAAAAGAATTTGGAGAGATGAGAAGAATTCTTATGATGCTTGCGGTGCTTTGTACTAAGCCATAAGCTGTTTGCTGACTTTGTCCTGTGAAGCACAAACAGAGAAACACTGTTTTTCAGTACTCGGCCCTGGTCACAGGTCACGTTCACGTCTCAGAGGGTTGTGGCGCACAGGCAGCTCTGTTGCTAAGCAGAGGCCACTTCTGATGAACACTATGCAACAAAGTATCAATGATGACAGAGGAGTGGAGGGGGCGTGGCCACCCTCTTCCATGACATGCTGTCTTTGAGCCACAGCCCTCAGATTATGGTTGAGTGTGCAGGTGTGACACTGTGCTGACTAAATGATCATGAAGTGGGAAGTTTTTCTGTTCTGGGAGCTACAATAAACGATTTGGGACAACACAGCAGTGCCTGTTTATTTAGTTGTTGTTGTTTACCTGTTGTTTACCTGTGTGAAGCCTCGTCACAACACAAGACTTATTTTTCCTAATCGATGCTGTGATGGTACAGAGAATCCTCCAACATGTGACGTCGAGCTGCACAGCGCTGTCAGACGGCTGTGTGTGAAACAGCCACAGTGGGTCACTGTGTGATTACAGCTCTATGTCCCACTGTCCTGTCACAGAAACAAATCCGTGCTTCTGTGCTTTATGGCTATTTTACAGAATTTCAACGATTTTTCTCTCCATGTTCAATTTTTTTCTTCTTTTTGCAGAAACATGTTGTTGAACTTAGTTTAAAAACAGAAGAACAAGAATTTTTGAATACATTTGTGTAATTATCATCATCATATAACACACTTTAAAACAACCACAGCTGACGCAAAGTGCTGTACATCAAAACCAAATAATACAAATGCATAAGATATAAAACAAAAAGTACAAAATGAATTAGTTTTTTTGTAATCAAACGAAGTCTCGCTGAGGCCAAAAGCCAAAGAATAAAAATGGGTTTAAGACGTATTTTATCTCATCTTATTTACTAATGCAGAGTGACTGCACAGGAAATGGTATTAACACTGCTGGAAGCAGTGAAAATGATTCAAAGTGGAGATGTCAATCAGACCTCTCTGAGGTGCACAATACTTTTTTTTTTTATTATTTTTTATTTCGTGAGAAGAATGGGAATGTTTTTAGTTTTAGTATAGGAAAGTATCAAAGGGTTGGTTGGAGCTGAAGAAGGTGGAGTCTAGCAAAGGGAAAGGCTTATACCGAGCTGTGGAAGGAAGGAGAAAATGACTTGTATCAGTTGGCTAAGCAGATCAAGCTCTAGCAGATTAGGGCGATTAAGGACGGGTGGAAATTGACTAAGACATGACGAGGGGATGTTAAGAAGATGTAAGGAATACTTAGCAGCCGATGAATGAAGAACAAGAGGATGGAGGACAGATGGTGGGTATGAAAGTGCAGAGGAACAAGTGATGACATCTATGAAGAGTGGAAAGGTGGTTGGTCCAGATGACATATGTTCACAGTGGTGATACGTTGGCCTGATCAATCATGTTTGAAGATGACATTGTGATCTGTAATGAAATTCAATGCAGTGTTATTTACACAACAAATCACAACAACAGTCGCCTCAAGGTGCTTTATATTGTAAGGT